AGAAAGAAAGAAAGAAAGAAAGAAAGAAAGAAAGAAAGAAAGAAAGAGAGAAAGAGAGAAAGAAAGACAGACAAAAGAAAAAGAATCTCTAGAGCAAGTCTGGAAATGTACATGCATCACAAATTTCCCTAGTGATTCTAATGTAAGTGGCTGACAGCAGAGTTCCTCATATCCATCCTATTGGAGATGATCTTTTCTTTCCTTTTAATACAAACATTCTATATCCTGAGAGCCTCTTAATCCACTCTGAATAGATGACATTTAAAATATCATTGTTATTTTTGAAGACTTCAGGATGAAAAAAATTGAAACACATCAAGAGCACAGTGACCAACAGGGTCAGGAATCTGAACCTATCTGAATCTGCCTCCGGAAAAAAAAAAAAATGGTTTAAAAATAAGGGAAAAATTCTGCTTAAAAAAAAAAAAAGTTTGAAAAAACTGGTCAAGAAAGCTCCCTAATTGGTCCTCTTTGTTGTTTTTACTCCTTGCTTCAGCTTTGGAAACTAGTCCTTTGCAATCTTAGATAAAGTTGTTAGAAAAGTATTCTTTATAACTAGGATGACCTTACAACTTCTCATCCAAACTGGGATGTGGAAGGAGGTGCTATTAGTAATTTCCCTGGGACATCAGGCAGAAAGGCATAAACTTGGTCTGCCTCAAGCAACCTGCAGTCTAATTTCATTTGATAGCCTTCAAAACCCAGAAAATATCTATACTGCTCTCCCTCCCAGTTTTTTTTTTGTTTTTTGTTTTGTTTGTTTGTTTTACCATTTCTTACCCAGATTCTTAACATACAACACAGAATCAAATGTGGCTGGAAGTCATCAAAGTCTTGGATGACTGCATTTTGGATGTAGGACTAAGATGGCAAAGGAAAAATATTCACTGGCTTATATTTCCCAGTTTTTCTACTTTAAAAATAACTATATATTAGGCACATACAAAATTGTTATACTGTAGAGTATAAAAAAACCCCAACACAACCCCCAAGCAAGCAACCACTAACAATTCAGAGAATGTGAGCATTGTATTTGAAAGTCCTCTGTTACTTTCCCTTCCCATCTCCCTTCTGCCTCTCAACCCCCAACCCAAAACACTTATCTGGAATTTGTGGGTGTCATTCCCTTCACAATTTGGTGGGCTATCATTATCTGGGGTCCAGGAAAATGTGTGAAGCAGGGGAGACCTGCTGACCCCTAACATTATGAGCCCCCACTAACTTGGTAAAAGACAATTCTCTGCTGCATAGCCCACAACTGGCTGACAAGTCCTTGGGACTATTTCCCACTACTGTTTGAATTAATGGATAAAGACCTGGATGTGGCTATTTCCCAAGCTTATTTGATGTGGTTAATATAGAAATGCCAATTCCAGGGGCGCCTGGGTGGCGCAGTCGGTTAAGCGGCCGACTTCAGCCAGGTCACGATCTCGCGGTCCGGGAGTTCGAGCCCCGCGTCAGGCTCTGGGCTGATGGCTCGGAGCCTGGAGCCTGTTTCCGATTCTGTGTCTCCCTCTCTCTCTGCCCCTCCCCCGTTCATGCTCTGTCTCTCTCTGTCCCAAAAATAAATAAACGTTGAAAAAAAAATGCCAATTCCATACAGCTATGCAGAATGCTGACCATTTGACTGAGGAAACGGGGGAATTTGGCACCAAAAACTCTCACAAACCAGTGATCGTCACAGTGTTTTAGGCCCAGAAATTGAGTGCAGCAGCTTTTTTTTTTTTTTTCAACGTTTATTATTTATTTTTGGGACAGAGAGAGACAGAGCATGAATGGGGTAGGGGCAGAGAGAGAGGGAGACACAGAATCGGAAACAGGCTCCAGGCTCCGAGCCATCAGCCCAGAGCCCGACGCGGGGCTCGAACTCACGGACCGCGAGATCGTGACCTGGCTGAAGTCAGACGCTTAACCGACTGCGCCACCCAGGCGCCCCTTGCAGCAGCCTTTTAAAAGAAAAAATGGGCTCATGTAAATCAGAAAGCCAACTGAAATCAGGAGTTAACAAGAGACAAAAATTGGAGAGAGAGAAAGCTAGGGTGTTGTCTGGCCCCTTCAGTTGTTCAGTCAGAAAGTATTTTCCTAAGATTCTGTGTTTTACCTCACACAACCCTGTTGCTTCACCTCAAGCGTTGCTTAAACCACATTGGAAAGGAAGACAAAGGTAGGGAATAATTATCTCATGAACAAGGCAGTAAGCTACAGAATACCTTTATATCCGAGCGCGGAGCTGTGTGCCACAGGCCATTGGAAAACCAGGAAACAATGCTCGCTGCCGTGTCACAAGGGAGTGATTGTGAAGTAGAGTGAGTAAATACAAAAGACTTCTGAAAAGGGAAAGATCAGGTTGGCTGGCATCAGAGGAAATATTCCTGGTGCTAGCAACTTTTGAGCTGGGCCTTGACAACAGACTAGGGAATGAGGAAATGCAGAGTGAAAGAATTTTTATACTAATAATGGAAACGATGGGCGTTCATTGTGTGCCAGGCACTGTGGCAAGCACTTCATGTGCATGATTTCATACACTCCTGCCAACAAACCTCCAAAGTGTAAGTATGCCCATTTTGTAGAAGAGAGACCGAGGCGCAAAGAGATTAAATAACTTGGCCAAGGTCACACAACTAGGCAGTCATTGCAGTAGTAGTCAGGATTCAAACTCAGGATGTTTGACCCAAAAGCCAGCATGCCTAGGGAGAGGAACAGCATGAGAGGAAGCCAAGACATGGGAGGCAACATGCTGACTGTCAAGCAGTTAACAAGGATGGGTCGTACTGAAGGGCCAAAAGGGTGAGTGTTTGGTCGCGTCATACCTCAGGTAGAATTCCTTACCGATCTGCCCCATCTGCTGTGCCTTATACATAGAGATGTTCAACATTGCTTGTTAAATTTAATTGGCAATATAAAAAAAGGCCCCAGGATGAGAAGCTATAATTGGGATTCTCTGCCTTTTATGTCTCCTAGTTTGACTAACATTTTGAAGTTGAACAGGGCATGAACAGGTTTATATGGGAAAAAAATAAATACACCAATACAAATTGGGAACATAGGGATAACACAATAATGAATGTGTGAGGAGGCTTTCAAGAGATGCACAGTCATCTTTTATTCATCTCTCCATTCAACAAATACTTCCTGATTGGTCATTTTGTATTAGTCCCTGTGCTGGCACACTGGGCATGCGGGCCCTCTGAAGGGATAAAACAACAAACAAATAAAAAACAGTTTCCACTATGTTTTATAACAAAATAGAATTCAATTAGCAGGGACATTGTTCAATGAACAATGGGCGTTTATTAGGCCCTACTATGTACTGGATACTCTTAAGTGATGATAGATCTGCATCCCTGTCCTCAGAGGCCTCATAGGGAAGATTCAACAGGTAAACAGGTAACGGCAACAAAATGCAATGGATATCACCTGAAAGGCGTTTATAAATGAAACAAATGTCTCTACCAAAGGAGGATACAAAATCCTGATATGGTCTGTCTCTACTAAGTTCATAAGTTTGGTAGTTTTCTGTCTGGGTTGACTAAGAAGTTCATCTCCCTGAACTCCAAAGTCCAGATCAGGTGACCCCTTGAAAAATCTTGCATCTCTAGGATTCTAATTTTTCACTCCCACAGCAGCTGAGAAATCACAGCACACAGGCAGAAAGAGGAATGTAAGAGTAACAGAACCCCAAGAACAGTATGTACTCAGATTTGCTAAGCAGAACAGGTAATAATACTCACTAAGGGGTAATGTCTTTCTTTTTCTTTCTTTTTTTTTTTTAACAACACCGAAATAGAAAACATCCATTAATTCATAAGCAGGTTAAAGTCCCAATTTCACAATAGTAAAAAAATCACTTTAGCCAAATTGCCAAATTCTAGAATGTCGGTGGTGGTCCACTAAAAATCACATTTCAGTAACCAGAAAATGTCAAAAATGTTAGAAAATATAAAATTCAAAACAATCTCAGAAACTCAGTTGCATCATTTAGAAGAACAATTCCAAATCAAAGTTCATTGATCACATAGAGGAA